CAAGGTGTGCGTGGTCCTAAACCTCGATTTCTTGTTGGAAATATCTTGGATATGGCTTCTCTTGTCTCCAAATCAACCTCAAATGACATGGATTCTATTCACCATGACATCGTCTCTCGCCTTTTGCCTCATTATGTTGCCTGGTCTAAGATTTACGGTAATAACTAACACATATTGATTTGGGACTCTTTTTTATTTTCAGTTCGTTTTAAAATGAATGATATCTTATGTAATTTAACAGGGAAACGATTCATTTTCTGGAACGGGACAGAGCCGAGAATGTGCTTATCAGAAGCAGATTTAATCAAAGAGCTTTTTTCAAAGTACAACACTGTTTCTGGAAAATCATGGCTACAACAACAAGGTTCGAAACATTTTATCGGCCGCGGACTATTGATGGCTAACGGCGACGATTGGTACCATCAACGCCACATTGTTGCTCCTGCTTTCATCGGAGATAAATTGAAGGTACGAAACATATCTTTTTTTTATCCTCTCAGTACATAATTTTTTTTTATAGAACTCTATCAAATAGAGTTATTTATATTTATATATGGGCAGAGTTATGCGGGATACATGGTGGAATGTACTAGTGGGATGCTCCAATCACTCAGAAATGCGGTTAAATCAGGCCAACTGGAGTTCGAGATCGGAGAGTACATGGCTCGACTCACTGCTGAAATAATTTCGAGAACAGAGTTTGACAGTAGCTATGAGAAGGGAAAACAAATATTTCATTTATTAACCATTCTACAGAAAAAGTGCGCGCAAGCTAGCAGACACTTGTGCTTTCCCGGAAGCAGGTAAAATTTTGGAACCCAGTATAATACGCAGCCATTACAACTTTTGTCACAGTCTCTTATCTTTGGGTGCTAACTCTGTGAGCACTGATAAATTTTAGATTCTTTATTGGATAGAAAATGCCCATTTTTTTTCCTTTAAAAGATTAATTAATTCCAAAACATTTGAAAATGTTACTTAAAAGATTAAGAAAAAGACAAAATTCAGTTTCAATTCTTGGAATTGACTGGTGTGACTCTATTTCCGAGTAATCTCATCAATGTGATATATGCATTGGCATATTGGATTGTTTATTCAACTCAACATTATTAAACTTTTGAAAAAAATTTAATTCTGAACTCATAATTTTCGAGTTTTGATTCATATTAATTCTTTTTTTATCCAGGTTTTTCCCGAGTAAATATAACAGAGACATAAAAACATTAAAAGTGGAAGTGGAGAGATTACTGATGGAAATAATACAAAGTCGAAAAGATTGTGTAGAAATTGGGCGAAGCAGTTCGTATGGGAATGATTTGTTAGGAATGTTACTAAATGAGATGCAAAAGAAAAGATCAAGCAATGGATTCAGCTTGAATTTGCAGCTTATTATGGATGAATGCAAGACTTTTTTCTTTGCTGGACATGAAACCACTGCCCTTTTGTTAACTTGGACTGTTATGTTGTTAGCAAGTAATCCCTCTTGGCAGGATAAAGTTCGTGAAGAAATCAACCAAGTTTGCAAAGGAGATTCGCCTACTGTTGATCACCTTCCAAAGCTTACTTTGGTAAGTGCTAGTAGTAATTTTAATTTCTACTATGCTTTTCGCTATGAGATGTGAGACTTTTTTTGGTGACTAAAAAACTAAAAGAAAACGAGAATAGTCTGTTCGGTGAAACTTTAGTGGTGGCAAAGGTCCACAATAGTCTATTGTCACTTCATGAGCTAGTTTTTTTTTAATTGAGTTTGTCTTTATCAAGGATTCCACATTTTGAGATTTTTTTTAATTTTTAATTTAATAAAATTTGTTATTTAGTTAGGGTAAATACGAAAAAATAAAAATTATTATCATTCTTTGATGGTCGATCTGTCAACTTAGAACTTGTCTTGTCAATAAATTCCATTGATCTTTAGATTCTACTGACAGCTTTGCTGCCATTGGGGCAATATTTTGATAAATTTTAAAGTCTAGTCACTAAAAATTAGAATGATTTAAATATTCCTAAGGTTCTTTCGGCTCCTCATTCTTCTTCGTAACTTAATTTATATATATACTGACTGACAAGTATAAATGATTTTTATTTTTTTGCAGTTGAGCATGATAATCAACGAGTCGTTACGACTATATCCACCAGCTACTGTACTACCAAGAATGGCATTTGAGGATTTTAAATTAGGTGATCTTAATATACCTAAAGGTTTATCAATATGGATTCCAGTACTTGCCATACATCATAGTGAACAAATTTGGGGAAAAGATGCAAATGAATTTAGGCCTGATCGTTTTGCCTCTAAGCCCTTTACTGCCGGACGGAATTTTCTTCCGTTCGCCGCGGGTCCTCGGAATTGTGTTGGACAGTCATTTGCCCTAATGGAAGCTAAAATTATATTAGCAATGTTAATATCGAAATTTCGATTCACCATTTCGGAGAATTATCGTCATGCACCTATAATTGTCCTAACAATTAAGCCTAAATATGGGGTTCAAGTCAAATTAACACCTTTGAGTACTTAGAGAAATTAATTTTTGGTCTTTAGAGGATTAGTTTTCCTCTTTTGTTGCCAAAATATTTTTTTCTTTTTTTGCTTAAGAAGAGTTTTTCATGAGGAGGATGTTGGAGAATAGTACTAATGATATGAGTAGCTTTACTATGTAATATCGGATTGAGATGAGTTTAAATGAATTAATTGAGTCGGTGATGATTTATATATACATATAATTTTATTACTATTTAATAATTTTATTAATTTTTTTAAAGCAAAAATCAAACCTATGCCTAATAAGCGATAAATTCCTTAGCAATTGTAATCATGCTTGAATCATAATTTATAGGATATTATAATACGTAAACAATACACTTACATTTCGTGAAAAAAATTATTTATTACGAAGGATAAAAATTAAAATTCGAAACAAAATAGAGGCAAAAGTGTAAATTAACCCCTGCTCCAACCCCATCGTCCGCAAACACAACTTGAAAAATATTTTCTCTAAAAAAACAAATTTTCTAAAATAAAGAAAATACCTTCTTAATTAGCTGATATAGGAAAAACAAATTCCACAAACATTCTACATTAATGATGTCGACATCTTCTTCATCCTCTCATAAACATACCATCACTCCCGTAGTCCCTATTCGTACCACCCCACACTCCTACTCCCTCCCACCTTTCCTCATATTTATTATTTATATGATATACAAATAATTTTAGAATAATATTTTATAATAATATATAAAAAAAAAATGTTAAAAGATATTTTGCTCTATATCAAATACACCCTTAGTAATAAAAAAAAAGGTGTCTCCGATTCTCCACTTCTCCGAATAAAAGGAAATCGTACTCTTAAAATTATTTGAATTTTGAAGTTAATATATAAAGCACCCCACTTTGAATGTTTTGAATTCCGTTTGAAGTATTATAGCTAAAATAAGCTAAACATAAACAAAAAATTTGAGGCGGCAGGTCAATATATATGCATTGGAAAGGATTGTTTAGGCCAGACAAATATTAATATATGGATCTTGGAGGTCGATTGATAACATCTTTTTCTTTTTAGTTCGTTCCAAAATAATATAATGCCATTTTATTATAATAAAAATAATTTAATTTTAAAATACGTTTTTTATTCTTAATAAAATGCTATCAATCATATAAATATCTCAGGATTGTTTTAAATCACAAATTTTAAAAAATTTATTTTATTTTATTTTTTATATAAAATTAAATGGTGTCATATAAAATAAGATGAGGAATTAGTATATGAATAAAAATGAAGAAAGCTATCAGAAAGAAAAAGACCCTTTCTTTAATTTCTATAAAAATAATAATGAAATGGGAGTAACGCACTCACATTCATAAAACAATTTTTATATGATTAGATGATAGCACTTCACCACTTATTTTATTCATTTCCTTGCACGAGTGTGCCTTTAACTTGATGGCTACAACAATAACCACTTCCTTTTTCTCTTTTTTGTTTTTTTATTTTTTATTTATTTATTTTCTCCATTATATTTTACATTTATTATTGATTGTTGTTATATTTTACTTGAGTCGAAAATCTATCCAAAAATATTATTTTGGATAGAAATAAGACTCCACACGTACAACCCCCTCCCTCCAACCTCCGCTTTGAAATTTCGCAAAATATATTATAGCTTGTTGCTAAGTTGTATATTGAGACATAAAAATATGATATCCAAAAGAATAATATTTGAAAAAAATATCTAAAAATTAAATTATGTTTGAATATGCATTTTAAAAATTTCCGATACCTATTTTTCAAGTATAGTAACTCCAATGGAAATGTAATTATGTCTATTAAGCTTAGAATGGAGCCAAATAATATTCAAGACGAAACCAACAAAATAAAGTCTGTCATTGCTAAAATTTCCAAAATCTTATCATTCCAAAGTTTCTTGATTTTTACACTCTTTTTTAAGGAAAGAGATAGGTGGAGAAGATCACAAAGATAATTATATTTATTTATATACCTAATGAGCCACAAAGACTCAATTGTTTTGACTCTTCAAATTAAATTACTAGTTGTTTATAAGTCTAATTCTCATCCCTAATCCCATGATTAGACAGCTTCTTTTGGAGTCAATCTGGGGCCCTTAATGATAATCCCCTTGATTAAATATGTTTCAACTCATGCTTAATTTTTAAGATTGATGCTCCACCCATCATCTTCACTTTAACCACCTTCCCCGCCTCCACCAAGCCTTGCTCCCATAACTTTAATTACTTTTTAATACTCCTACTAATTAAATAACTTTTTTTCTTTTTTGGGGATAATAATAATGATAAATATTTTTTTCTCCATTATAATATGTTTCATTATAAAGACAATTTTGCCTTTTGACAAAATATCGTGGCATGAAATTCTCTAACCTTTATTTTTCAAAAAAAAAATTTAATCCTATAAATAGCCCTCAAAATCTCACAAAGACATCAAACACACAAATCTTGTGAGTTTTATATTTTTTTTCTTTCTCCTTTGGAACAAGAGTGATAGTTGTATACTAAAAGTAACCATCATGGCTATGGTGGTAGTGATACTTTTGATTTGCATCATTTTGATGTCACTGAAAATTGCCTATGAAACTCTCTTATGTTACTATCTAATTCCCAGACGTATCACTAAAATCATGGAAAAACAAGGTGTATGTGGCCCTAAACCTCGATTTCTTGTTGGAAATATCTTGGATATGGCTTCTCTTGTCTCCAAATCAACCTCAAATGACATGGATTCTATTCACCATGATATCGTCGCTCGCCTTTTGCCCCATTATGTCGCCTGGTCTAAGATTTATGGTAATAACTAATACATATTGATTTGTGACACTTTTTTATTTTCAGTTCGTTTTAAAAAGAATGTTATATTCTGTAATTAGTAATAATTTAACAAATAAATTAACTAACAGGGAAACGATTCGTTTTCTGGAACGGGACAGAGCCGAGAATGTGCTTATCAGAAGCAGATTTAATCAAAGAACTTTTTTCAAAGTACAGCAACGTTTCTGGAAAATCATGGCTACAACAACAAGGTTCGAAACATTTTATCGGCCGCGGACTATTGATGGCTAACGGCGACGATTGGTACCATCAACGCCACATTGTTGCTCCTGCTTTCATCGGAGATAAATTGAAGGTACGAAACATATTTTTTTTTTTACCCTCTCAATACATAATTTTTTTATAGAACTCTATCAAGTAAAGTAATTTATACTTATATATGGACAGAGTTATGCGGGATACATGGTGGAATGTACTAGTGGGATGCTCCAATCACTTGGAAATGCGGTTAAATCAGGCCAACTGGAGTTCGAGATCGGAGAGTACATGACTCGACTCACTGCTGAAATAATTTCGAGGACAGAGTTTGACAGTAGCTATGAGAAGGGAAAACAAATATTCCATTTATTAACCATTCTACAGAAAAAGTGCGCGCAAGCTAGCAAACACTTGTGCTTTCCCGGAAGCAGGTAAAATTTTGGAATCCAGTATAATACTCAGCCATTACAACTTTTGTCATAGTCTCTATCTTTGGTGCTCACAGAATACCCATTTTCCTTTTCTTTTTTTTTTTTAAAAAAAGATTAATTAATTCCAAAACATTTGAAAATGTTACTTAAAAGATTAAGAAAAAGACAAAATTCAGTTTCGATTCTTGGAATTGACTGGTGTGACTCTGTTTTCAAGTAATCTCATCAATATGATATATGCATTGGCGGATTGGACTGTTTATTCAACTCAACATTATTAAACTTTCGAAAAAAATTTAATTCTGAACTCATAATTTTCGAGTTTTGATTCATATTAATTCTTTTTTTATCCAGGTTTTTCCCGAGTAAGTATAACAGAGACATAAAAACATTAAAAATGGAAGTGGAGAGATTACTGATGGAAATAATACAAAGTCGAAAAGATTGTGTAGAAATTGGGCGAAGTAGTTCGTATGGGAATGATTTGTTAGGAATGTTACTAAATGAGATGCAAAAGAAAAGATCAAGCAATGGATTCAGCTTGAATTTGCAGCTTATTATGGATGAATGCAAGACTTTTTTCTTTGCTGGACATGAAACCACTGCCCTTTTGTTAACTTGGACTGTTATGTTGTTAGCAAGTAATCCCTCTTGGCAGGATAAAGTTCGTGAAGAAATCAACCAAGTTTGCAAAGGAGATTCGCCTACTGTTGATCACCTTCCAAAGCTTACTTTGGTAAGTGCTAGTAGTAATTTTAATTTCTACTATGCTTTTCGCTATGAGGTGTGAGACTTTTTTTGGTGACTAAAAAAATAAAAGAAAACGAGAATAGTTTGTTCGGTGAAACTTTAGTGGTGGCAAAGGTCCACAATAGTCTATTGTCACTTCATGAGCTAGTTTTTTTTTAAAATTGAGTTCGTCTTTATATATCAAGGATTCCACATTTTGAGATTTCTTTTTATTTTATTTTTTTAATAAAATTAGTTATTTAGTTAGGGAGAATACGAAAAAATTAAAATTATTATCATTCGTTGAGGGTCGATCTGTCAACTGAGAACTTGTCTTGTCAATAAATTCCATTGATCTTTGGATTCTACTGACAGCTTTGCTGCCATTGGGGCAATATTTTGATAAATTTTAAAGTCTAGTCACTAAAAATTAGAATGATTTAAATATTCCTAAGGTCCTTTCGGCTCCTCATTCTTCTTCGTAACTTAATTTATATATATACTGACAAGTATAAATGATTTTTATTTTTTTGCAGTTGAGCATGATAATCAACGAGTCGTTACGACTATATCCACCAGCTACTGTACTACCAAGAATGGCATTTGAGGATTTTAAATTAGGTGATCTTAATATACCTAAAGGTTTATCAATATGGATTCCAGTACTTGCCATACATCATAGTGAACAAATTTGGGGAAAAGATGCAAATGAATTTAGGCCTGATCGTTTTGCCTCTAAGCCCTTTACTGCCGGACGGAATTTTCTTCCGTTCGCCGCGGGTCCTCGGAATTGTGTTGGACAGTCATTTGCCCTAATGGAAGCTAAGATTATATTAGCAATGTTAATATCAAAATTTCGATTCACCATTTCGGAGAATTATCGTCATGCACCTATAATTGTCCTCACAATTAAGCCTAAATATGGGGTTCAAGTCAAATTAACACCTTTGAGTACTTAGAGAAATTAATTTTGGTCTTTAGAGGATTTGTTTTCCTCCTTTTTGCCATTTTTATTTCCTTTTTTGCTGAAGAAGAGTTTTTGGGGAGGATGTTGGAGAAGAGTACTAATGATATGAGTAGCTTTATTATGTAATATCGGATTGAGATGAGTTCAAATGAACTGACAGAGTCAGTGATGATTTATACATAAATGATTAATCTCAATTTTTTTGGAACTGAAACGTAATTGTTTTTTTTATTTTGTCTTTTTGGTAACTTAAGTAGGCTACTTGTGGTTATGTAAAAAGATGGAGTGATCATGTTGTGCTTGTACTGTTCTTTTTAACAAAAGATAAGTGAAGAGATATTGTGACTATGGCTTTTGAGGTTGATTAATTATCAATTAATTGAGTGGGTTCAAAAAAAGATGGTTTTGGAGATTAATGATTAGAATAAGAAGTCAGACAAGGAAGATATGATTAAGTTGATGAGGGTCTTTTTTTTAATTTTAGATAAGCACCCAGAAATATATTTAATTAAGTGATCACAACACAAAATTAGTTTATTATTGTTAAAAAGGTTTTCCTCTTTCCTTTGATACCTTTATTAAGATTGATAATATTATGATTCTTTCTTTTTGCCCAACTCAACTGGTTTAACATAGTGCTTACTTTTCAAGTTGAAAATTAATGATCAACTTGGATTATTCTTTTTAAAACAAAGTCCCGTAGGGTCGCAAAATAAAAAATCTTTGTAAGACTCTCTCTCGTCTATAAAATGACACGTTTTGCTTTTCAAATGGATCAGTATATGTTTAATTTTTACTTTTTAAAACTTAGATTATTTATTAATTTTTTTTTTAGCAATAATCAAACTTATGCCTAATAAGTGAATTATAATTTATGAGATATTATAATACAAAAACAATACACTTAAGCTTCATGAAAAAAAATATTTATTATGAGGGATAAAATTTAAAATTCAAAACAAAATAGGGACAAAAGTGTAAATTAACTCCCACTCATAGTACTAAAAAAAGGTGTCTCCGATTTTCCACTTCTCCAAATAAAAAGAAACCGTACTCTGAAAATATTTAAATAAAGAACTCCCCCACTTTGAATATTTTGAATTCCGTTTGAAGTAGCTAAAATAAGCTAAACATAAACAAAAAAAATAATAATTGAGGCGGCTGGTCAATATATGTATTGGAAAAGATTGTTTAGGGCAGACAAATATTAATATATGGATCTTGAGGTCGATTGATAACACACTACTCCAAATGCAATTATGGTAAGTTTGTGATTTCTACAAATCATTTTACCTTTACTTTTAGACCCTAATATCCCCTCTAAGCAAAGTAAAAAATTACTTCAATTAATTCTTTTTTTCAATAGTTTTTCATTATTGACTTGACACACACTTTAAGAAACAATAAATAATAGAAATAATATTACTATATTACCCTTTGCATATATTAAAAATATTTTGAGAAATATATTAGATACTATTGAATAGTATTTAATAATTAATATCAAGGGTAAAATAAACATAAAAGATAACTATCTCTTGATTTTCTAAACATGACAAGTATTATGTATTTAATAATTATCTTTTGATTTTCTAAAATAAACAAGTGAAGATGGACGGAGAGTATCAACTATTTATGTATGTTAATAGTTGCATTTTTAAATTATTCTTTGTACATAAAGATGTGGTTTAACAGTAGGGAAGAGCATTGAATATTATTTGACATTGACAAACATACTTGAGATAATTAATGAGTGGAAATCTTACCAAAATCCACTTAATCTAGTCTAGACTAATGTGTTGACTCACATGGCGGCAATAAGTGCGATATGAAAAAATTGATCTTATTATTAACTAATGGCAATGCCCATTGGTCAATCAAGATTTACATTCTTTATTTGCTTTGCTTAAAAAGGATGATGAGCTTCCTAGAAATTTCAGACTAGGGATTGAGATTGTGATTTTCAAATTAAAGCTGATATTCGTGGTGTTTGGACTAGCTTGCGTGAATTTTGATTAATTTTATGGTATATTTTTCATCTCCTACCTGTAACAAGTATAAGATTGTAGAAATCTCACATAAGTATGGAGAAATCAGTGATTGTATTGATGATTATAATGTTGAGTTACAAGCTCCTTATATAGGAGAAGAGTCCTATTTTAGTTATACTAGGAATTCTACTACAACACAATTAATTACATGAGTAGTATTGTATTAGTCAAATACCTTATCCTAGTCGACTCCTACAATATTCAGTAGCTTAGTCGTACATAACTTAGGATTTAGTAGTCTAGTCCTAGTATGACTCTAACTCTAACTCGTCAACCTGCTTCGATGGACTTGTTCCTTCGACATGTTCCATCAGTCTTCAAGCTTCCTTCAACACTTCCCCTCAAGCTAGTGAGTGGAGGAACTGTAACTCCTAGCATGCTGCGAAAACTAGAGAAAACTTGTTTTGTTAAGGCTTTGGTATGAATATCAGCTAGTTGATCCTTAGACTTCACAAATTAAGTAAGAAGTTGTCCCCTGGCCACTTTCTCACGAACAAAATGATAGTCCATTTCAACATGTTTGGTTCTAGCATGCATAACTGGATTAACTGTCATGTACAAGGCACTCATATTATCACAATACAACGTATGAACAAATCGAAGGAACATTCCAAGGTCATGAAGAAGATATAAAATCCAAGTCATTTCTGCGGCAGTGGAGGCTAGTGGTCTATACTCAGCTTCAGCACTTAATCGGGCTACTGTGGTCTGTTTCTTGGAGGTCCAAGAAATACAATTTGCACCTAGGTAGATGTCATAGGCTGTAGTTGATCTCCTAGTTGTGGAACAACCTCCCCAATCAGCATCTGAGTAGCCATACAACCTACATGGTGATTGTGAAATAATTCTGAGTCCAAAGTGTAGAGTACATTTGATGTACCTGAGAATTCTGTTTACCTCTCGAAGATGTTCAATATTTGGGCTTTGCATAAACTGGCTTGCTAGATTCACAGCATGAGTGATATCAGGTCTTGTGAGGGTCAAATATTGAAGGCTCCCTACTATCATTTTGTACAAGGATGTATCTACAAGATTTCCCACAACTTCATGCAAACCATGTTTTTAAACCAAAGGAGTGGCTACAGCCTTTGCCAAAGTCATCTTTGTCTTGGCCAGCAGCTCAACAACATACTTGCTTTGATTTAAGTGAATTCCACCGTTGAAATACTTTACCTCAATTCCTAGAAAGAAGTGTAAAGGGCCAAGATCTTTCATAGAAAACTCATTAACATGATATGGATTACTTCATATGGCAATAATATCATCCACATATAACAAGAGAAATATTTTGCATTTGTGAGTTTGCAAAGTAAATAAGGAAGGGTCAGCCTTACTACAAATGAAACCAAGGTGTAAGAGTTGCATGTTAAACCTATCAAACCAGGCTCTTGGTGCTTGTTTAAGACCATACAATGCCTTTTCAAGTAGACACACATGCTGAGGATACTGAGGATCAATAAAACCAGGAGGTTGACTCATGTACACCTCCTATTGTAGGATGCCATGGAGAAAGGCATTTTTGACATCTAGTTGTCTAACTTCCCACTTTGAATTGACAGCAATGGATAGAACCACCCTAATAGTTGTAGCTTTAACCACATGACTAAATGTTTCTTCAAAATCTATCCATTCATGTTGCGGGAATCCCCTTGCCACAAGTCTGGCCTTGCATCTATCTACTGTCCCATCAATTTTTAATTTTGTCTTGAGCACCTTTTTTTATCCAACCAAGTTTATACCATAAGATTTGGGCAATCCATGTTTTGTTAGTATGTAAAACATCAATTTCTTCATGCATTGTTGCAAGACACTGAGGTGATCTTAGTTCTTCCTTAGTAGTATTTGGTTCTCTCACAATTTCTGTGCTGCTGCGAGCAACAAATGACAAGTGATGTTCCTCCGCCTTGTGTCTGGTGATCATATGATGCCCTTGTGGTGCAGGGAGTACCTCAACTGGTACATCAACCAAGGTAGTTGACTGGAATGTAGCATTGTCAGGTTGATGGTCAACTGGTACATCAACTAAAGTAGTTGTTTGATGATGATCATTGGTTGGACCTGTAAGAGTAACTTGTTCCTCACTGCTATTGGCAGATTCAAAATCTGTAGCTGGAGTTTCAATACTACTATATGGATAACCTTCAACATGTTCCTCAACATCTGATCCTGCACCTGAAAAGTCAATAGTACTCTCATCATCAAGAAGTATATGAATTGTAGCAGCATTATCACTATTAATGTGTGGACTAGCAGTCTGTACTTCCCCTGAATCAGAATTATCATATACCTGCAATTTAGAGAAAGATTCAACAAAGGTAGCAAGGTTAGGTGAGACATCAATGTTAGTCTAAGATTACTTTGCATTCACATAGAGTAATGTGTTTTCATCAAACACAACATGTCTGGATATGTAAACCCTCCTTGTAGAGGGACGATAGCATCTATATCTTTTATGTAAACTGAAATACCCTATGAACACACAAGGGTAGGTCTTTGGACTGAACTTATTGCTACCCTTGATATATGAAAAATAGCTACACCCAAACACTTTTAAGCTATTGTAATCAGCTAATTCCCAAAACAACTTAACAAATGGAGTCACCATCTTTAGGATTGATGAAGGCAGTCTATTGGTAAGGAATATTGCAGTGAGGAAAGCCTCAACCCATAGAAACAATGGTAGGTTAACATGAAGTAGTGAAGTTAAGTCAGTCTCCACAATATGCCTATGTTTTCTCTCTGCAACTCTATTTTGTTCAGGTGTGTTAGGACATGAAATATGTCTCACAATGCCATAATCTTCCAAATGCTTAATGAAGTCTGTTTTGATAAACTCACCACCTCCATCACACTGAAAAATCTTAATCTCTTTAGAAAATTATTTTTCCACCATTTTCTGGAATTTTAGAAAGACCTCAAAGAATTCAGATTTCTTTTTCAGTAAATAAATCCATGTATATCTTGTGTGATCATCAACAAAAATGACATAATATTTCATATGTTGGGAAGATTCGACAAGAGTAGGTACAAGAGTAGGTCACAATGAATTTTCAATAAAAAAAATTTCTCAATTTTATTTCTCAAACCAAAAGGAAGTTTACAACTCTTTCCCAATTGACAACTAGCTAGAACAAACAGTAGGCATTTTATTC